GACTTCCTCTCTGCTTACAGCTTAATCACACACACAGAATGACAATTTCCAGCTTCAAAATGAACATCAACACAATTCTGTATCTTTCTGAACACCACAGCCGTGAAATATGTTTTACCAAGGTCAAAACTTGGACTTTTTATATGCCAGCACGAAGCGTTTTTCCACAATATCACAATATCTCACGTCACACATAATTTATCTCTTCAGAAACGCGTACGAGCCACCATTTATGTAGTGAGCTAGCTGTTAGCTTCACTACTAATTAATTTTTCTTAAAGCTAGTTCAAGCACGAAGAATATTAATTGTTCAATTACAACGGATTCTTTCTTTTTCGAGTTAAATTTCTTCCATGTGACCAAGATAACTTGTGGAGTGGAGTGGTAATTAGTGACATGAGACGCCATTTTATCTTTGACCCATCAGAATAAATGCGGTCATTTATTTAACAGAATCAAAATTTAACATCAAACATGTACACATTGATTTGCTGGTGTGTTTCTGATTAATAAACTGGGCATGATTTACTAAACAAGACAACAGAACATTACTGATTGAGAATGATTAATCTCTGAAGGCATCTAGCTTGATTTACTGGCGAATAGAAGTTTAAAGAGAAGGGATAGATTTAAAGAGGAGGTTTAGATGGATGAAAGTTATGTGTTGAACCATAAAATGGCACCCTTCCTCCAAATCCAGCTCAGCCCTTCGGTACACTTCAGGGCGTGCAACAGCTTGTTACCTGAGATGGTGGATACATCCACTCCGGAACAGAGGTCCATTGGCACGCTCCCTTTTCAGCGTCTCTGGTCAGAGTGGCTGGGGTCGTCAGAAGTCGTGACGAAGTACTCAGTTCAACAGAATAAGCTTCCTTAGAAGTTGAGCATTTAATGCTCGGGTTGAGTCACAGCCAAGGCAGGCTGTGACTACGCTGGAATGGACGGACCCATGGCACATGGTCAAATCCATCAGCTATTTTGTTCAGCTGTAAGACTCCATCAGACTGAGTCTCATCTTCGACTGAAAGTTCCAGGAAGACTGAGAGACTGGAAAAGACTGGAAGACTGGAAAGTTCCAAGAAGTGTTGCCTTTTAAAGGGTATCCACTTCCTGTCACTTGGTACTTCCTGATTGGTTGAAACAACCAGCAGGGGTGTGGTTTTGGTGATGTCAGAGGGTTATTAGAAGTCAGGAGACAGCAGAAATGTTTTAAGAACGGTTAGTACAGACAGAGAAATATTTTGAAAAAAATTAGAGAATGCAGGTGCCAGCCAGTTCAATTTGTATCAATCACATCTTCAACATTGTATATTTTAAACTCTAAGTCTTCGTATGTTGCCATGTTTTAATGTTTTTGTTCATTTTATATTTTGTTAATTTCTTGTTTGTGAAGTTATGTCAATGTAGTGATCTAGACCTTCGACATCAATGTGTCTCTGAGGACCTTCAGGGGACAGGAACTGCTATTTCATTGATTTGAATATAGAAATACAAATCATCTCATCAAGAGACTATTTAATTGTATCCTGAATTAATCAATTGAAAGAACACTCTTCTTTTACATTATAATTGCTATTTTACAATATCTTGATAATCAAAAGTGTGTTTAGTTCATACCATTTCTAAATGTTGAAGTGAAGCTTTCGTCTTCAACCATCGACAGAGGCCTCATGTCAGTGACGAACATGTTCAGGATGTTTCAGTGAAGACAGCTGCTGCTGTGGTGTCCATGATGTCTGTCCATCATGAAGGATGTTGTTGTTTGTTGTTGTTGTTTTCTGGAATGAGAGAGTAAATATGTATTATAGCATAATTTATAGCAACTCAAGAAATGCCTTGTTTCACTTACAGCGTTAGGTTCAGGCAAAAGTAGCTAAAAGAGCAATTAAACACACACACGCACACACACACACACACACACACACACACACACACACACACACACAC